GTGAGTCAGAATCAACGTGATGGCAGTGGGTGTGGTTTTTGGTTTTATGGATCATAAAGATCTGATCCCCAGCCTGACTAAAAAGAAAGGACAGAAGCGAAGGGGGTGTGGGGCTGAGAGCTGAGAAAGGTAGGGAGGGAGGGCACCTGCTGGGGGTGAAGGCCCCAAGCTGTGCTCACGGCCCAGCCCTGCCTGTCGCCACTCAGTCTGGAAACCCAGGCGTCCGCAGGGCCAGGCTCCCTCTGAAGGCTCCAAGGAAGAGCCTTCTTTAGTCCAGGCTCTCCCAGGGCCTGTTCCCCCAGGACCCTGCATGCAGCCGGGTCCTAGGCCGGGCTGTCTGAGGCTACGCCCACCTGCAGGAAACCCCTCTGGTTCTCACTGGTGGGGGGGCTGTGGTCTGGAACATTCGATGGCCATTGTGGGGCCTGCCCCCCCAGCAGCAGGCCTGTTACCAGGACACTGGGGGAAAGGCATTCCCTGCTGGACGCCTTGCCAAGGCAGTGCCATGGAGACCAGCTCTGAGCCGGTGGGTGGGCGCTCAGTCTCCCAAAGGGAGGAAGCAGGGCCGGGGCGAGAAGGCCAGGTGGGGGGCTAGCTGCAGAGACCCTTCCAGGCTGGGGCAGCCGGGCCTCGGAAACGGCTGAGTGGGGGCCTGGAGCGGGCCCACCCACGCACCGGTCCCTCCTTAGCGGAGTGTCTGGCCTTAGGGGATCAGCATCTCGCCACCCATCTCTCCCCCCACCCAGCCATGTTCATCACTGTGATGCTGGGAGGTAAGCGAGGCCCCTCCCCCTCTCCCTCTGGCCTGGGGGAGGGCAGGATGCAGTGGTCCGAGGGGGTTTAGGAGAAGGCCCTGCTGGCTGGGTGCTGGGTGAGTCACACGGGGCCCCTGGGACAGCAGGGGAAGGGGAGTCAGGTCAAACTGCACCTCTGACCAGGAGCCTGTCACAGGTGAAGAGTCCAGCCCCGCGGGGTCTCCAGGCAGTTTCAGTAACGTTTGCCCGGGACACAGTCCCAGCCCCGGGAGAAGGGAAGGAGGGGCCCCCACCCCCTGAGCCCTCCTTCCTCCCCCAGCTGACTGCTGGGAGCTGGCGAACCCGCGGTGCAGCCTGGTGGCACTCACCGCTCACCTGAGGAGCAGCGGGAACATCTCCCCAGATGGTGAGGGGTCAGGAAGGGTGCTTGGAGGGGGCGGGGGCCCGAGGCAGGGGTGCCAGCCCGCCGGCCTCCCTCTGTGCCTCCCAGTGCCCCTTGCCCTCCTGGCCGAGGATGGGCACCTGGTGAGCCTGGACCGGGGCCTGGAAGAGGGGCCCTCCCCTGCCCCCGCGAGCCCCCTGCTCCGGGAGCGCGAGACCTACATCCTCGTTAGGATTCTCAGTAAGTGGGGCCCCCGGATCCCCGCTGTAAGAGGTGAGCACACTAAGATTGGGGGGGGGGGTCTGGACCCCGCTCAGCTGGGACCTCAGCCTGCACCAGAGTGAGGGACGGATGGGGCAGGAGAGGGGCATCGGGCCAGCCAAGGGTCTCGTCCTCCCTCCACAGAGGGGGAAGCCGGGGCCCCCACCCGCTATGAGTCCTTAGTAGGGAACCTGGACGACCTGTATCCGGAGCTGGCAGGTTAGTATCCAGGTCGGGGCCCTGGAGCAGGGGGACGGGGAGTACCCTGTTCCCAGCCCCAGCCGGCAGCTTCCTGGGCCTTGCAGAGGAGCTACGTCGACTGAACGGTCTTCCCCTGGCGGGCGATGGCCAGAGACGACGTACGGGCACTCGGCCCGGCCACCGGGAACGAGGACCCCCCTCCAGGCCCCAAAGAGGGGGCTCCCTGCCCTCTAGGACCCTGCGGAGTTGCCAGAGTGGGCCCAGAAGCCTGGTATGAAGGGAGAGCTTGACATCAGGGGAGACAGACACCCAGCAGAGGGGACTCCTTCCGGGGGGGACAGCCACGAGTGCTGAGAGGCAGACCCGCCATGCCGGTCCCCCCCACACACACCCCCCCCCAAAAAGGACCACTCTGTGCCCAGAGCTGTGTCCCCAGTGACCCTCCACGAGGGCAGGAATCAGGTCGGCCTGTCGGCTTGCCGACCCTGCGTACCTTGGGGTGTGGGGCAGCAATGCAGTGGGGAGCGGGACGAGGGCACCACGCGGGCTGCAGCATGTAGCACGGGCTGCTGGGTCCCCGGCCACGTCTGCACCGAGTGTGATGGGTTCACCCCTCTGCTCTGCAGGCCCAGTGACCTGGCAGCCCACAGCCAAGTGGCCGAGCTGCCCTGGAGCTAGGAGGCTTGGTGAGCTCAGGGCCGGCCGGACGGCCAGCGCCAGGCCTTCTGCAGAAACTGGAACTGCCGACGGAAGGTCACAAGGACACTGGGCGTCAGGCCACGCAGGGCCGAGAAGCAAAGACACACAGGAGGGAGGGGCGCCATCCCTGAGGGGAAGGCGACAGCCATTAGCGGTCACGCACTAAGAACTCCTCACCGCTCTGCACCACCAGCTCAGTCCACCCATGGTGGGGCTTCTCCCCCCACCCAGGATGCCTGCTTGAAAGGACGCACCAAGCTGCAGTGAGACATCCACCCAGCACACAGGCCACGGGCGCCGGCAGGGGTCTAAAACCAACTATTTTAATTGCACATTTGTGTCTCGGGTGGTCTGTGGGAGGAGGGGCCCCTGCTCATTCCAAGTCCCAGCTCAGTGGGTACAGTCTGACGCCGTGGTCCGCAGTCGGTGAGGATGCGTGGCCGCGGCGCTGCAGCCGGCGGGGCTGTGCGTGCACGTAGCCTCTTCAGGGCAGGGAGCCCAGGCCTTCGGAGAAACGGGCCACACAGGTGTGGTCAGCCAGCAGATGCGGGGGAGGCCTGCCCCCCAGCGGCCCCCCGACTCACCGTGGTTATACTTGCACTGCTTCATGGCCTCGCTGAAGCCCTCACACAGGGACAGGTCGCTCTGAGCGCTGGCACAGTCCAGAAACTGCCGGATCTCATAGGCGCAGGGCCCCAGCTGCAGGGGCTGTGGGGCAGGGCGGGCCGGGGCCTGGGGGCGGCAGGGCAGCGGCAGGGTCGGCGTGGGGCTGGAGGCCATCTGCCCCCCCCACACCCCCAGACCGAGTGCTCCAAGAGTCCTGTGGAGTGGGAGGGGCAGGGGAGAACGGAACACCAAACCCAGGGCTGTGAATCAATTCTGACGCACAGCGCCCCTAGAGGACACAGTGGAACTGCCAGAAGGCTTCTGAGGCAGTCAGTCTTCACGGAAGCAAAACCAAAACACCAAAAACCAAACCCAGTGCCACAGAGTCAATTCTCACGCATAGCGACTCCCATTGGGTCCTCCTTCTGCAAGTGGCTGGTGGGTTTGAAGCACCAACCTTCTGGTTAGCAGTCAAATGCCCAAACCACAGCCACTGCTGTGGAGTCAATTTCCACTCCCAGCGCCCCTAGAGGACAGAGTGGAACTGCCCCACAGGGTCTCCAAGGCTGTGTCTCGTCTTTCTCTCACCTACCTGGTTCGACCCTGCTGACCTTGTGGTTAGCAGCAGAATACTTTAACCACTGTGCCACCAGCGCTCCTTGGGCAGCAAGAAGTTTCGCAAACAGCCCTGCTGAATTCTCCGCAGCTGAGCCCCACCCCCCCACACATACACAAGTTCTAGAACTTTCCAGGCTCAGCCTCAGTGATCCTTATGACCCCCAGAATCCCTGACCTAGCTGCTAAGCCAATTTGGCTCAGGGCTGGTGGGGAGGGAAAAGTGGGGCTCCTGGAGAGGACAGGCCAGCAGAGGACAGGCCTCAAGGTCACCAGCTGCCTTCTGCCCTTGGGCCAAAGGGCTGCAGTGGTGCGAGGAAAAGACACTGAGGAACCGCAGCGTAGCGTAGGGGTTAGGTGATCTCCGGCAGGCTCTGACCCCGGGGCCTGCTTCTGCATCTTTATAGGGCTGGTTGGTGTCTGTCCCCCAAGTCCAGATCCTGGGGGTGGGCGAGGGGCTCTGACAGGAGAGCACCAGTGCGGGCTAGGACCCTCGGGGGGCACAGTGCGGGGCTCGAGGCAG